TAATATTACAATAATTTAAAAATCATAGAATAATATTAGAATTTTATAAGAATATTGTTAGACTAATATTAGAATAATATTAGACTAATATTAGAATAATAATACCATAATATTAAAATAATAGTATAATATTATTAGAATAAGATTGTTAAAATAGAGCCAATATTATGACGTATAATAAAAAACCAGTTGCATGCAGCATCCGCAAGATCAGTGTCAGAGTTACTGCATAAGATTCTTAAAAGCTTGTAAGTACTACAATGTCCCAAAGAATTATTACCGTTATCAAAGCTAGAGGTGATGTAATACAGTGATACAATTTTGTAAATATTTTACAAAAACTGACAAAAATTATTCGTCTAAAATATTTCTGATATATAATTATTGTTATTAGTTTGTTATTTCAAATATATTATAAACTAATTCAAATAGTTGATAAAATGTTTGTGAACAAAAATAAAACAGTTTTTATCAGATAACTTTTTCTTGTAGTGTCAATCACTAAACATTTTAAAAATGTACTAACTTAAGCGAGATAGGACTCGTTCTGATCCTAAGTTTACGTAATTTATAATCTGATAATGACAGCTAGCTGTCTTTCAGATAATTCATTAATGTTTGACATCGCATGGGAGAGACGATTTTTATGAAAATAATAAAGTCGACGAGCTCATAAAAATAATTAAACAGCTGATAAGGTTGTAAAACAAACGGTGTCCCAGATATTTTTCTTTTCCCTCAAAAACTGAATAGAATTTCTGAACTACTTATCGGAAAAAGACTGAATACTCAATACCGAGTGGCTGAACCTTTACAAAATTAATTATCTCTACTTTGGCATCGACTTCAAAAAATGCCGATAATGTACAACCAGGTCCGGTCTGGCTAAATTAAAAACCCTGGGGATTTATCACAAGTTTTTGTGACACTTAAATTACAAAAGTTGCTCAAAATGTTCTTGTTCTCAAATACTATTACATTATTACATTCGAAATTTGTGATACCATTTCTTAAGTTATACAATAATACCCATTGATTAATTTTATCACGTAGTTGATTTACGTTAGGTATTCGGAACACAATGATTATAATAAACTTTATTTTTGAGATATCCCCAAACAAAATATACCATAGGATTTAAGCAAAGCTGGCTTTGGCGGCCATAGAATTGATCCTTGTATATTAATCACCTCCTTGGAAACTGACTCGTAATAATCAAGATATATTTAGGGAATAAAGTACTAAATTTTTTCACGAAGTTGATTTAAGTTATTCGGAATACAGTGATTATAATAAACTTTATTTTTGAGATATCCCCAAACAAAATATCTCATAGGATTTAAGCAAAGGTGGCCTTGGCGGCTATTGAATTGATCCTTGTATATCAAATCACCCCCATGGAAACTGACTCATAATAATTAAGATATACAGGGTGGCTCACGCTCAACGGGACGGAGCTTTATGGGAAAACGACCAAAGATATAAAAAATTCGTTTGGGAGGAATACGTAGGTTACAGACGGCTACAATTTAAAATTTGTTAGATGTACACAGGATGTCCCACATAAGAAAAAAAAAATAGTTCATTAAAAATTATTCAAACAAGAGTAAACAATTAATTTCTGGGAGACTTTTTTTCCTTAAAAATTCAAATAAATCGAAAACTAATAATAATAGTAATAGGGAACCTTTAGTTAACTGACATTATTTTTGATGTAGTTTTTAATTCTAAAATAAAAAACAGGGTGTTCCATTAAAAATAATATAACTTTGTATATTTTCTCTTATGTGGGACATCCTGTATACATCTAACAAATTTTAAATTGTAGCCGTCTGTAACCTACGTATTCCTCCCAAACGAGTTTTTTATATCTTTGGTCGTTTTCCCATAAAGCTCCGTCCCGTTGAGCGTGAGCCACCCTGTATTTAGGAAATAAAGCACTAATATGATAATATAAACTTTTAATAACGATTTTATGACAACTAGATAAACATTTTAATGAATTATATAGTTTGGATTTATTAACAACTAAAATAATACTAGAAACTTTAACTATATAAGACATCAATAATACTCGGGACGAAAATGTAAAATTGACATTTTTATGTAATTCAATTAATTATCTCAAACAAAATACTTTAAAAATAAGTTAAAGACATTTACATATAGTTTACAAATCGCTGCACCAAACTTTACACATAAGGGTATTTTGGGACCTAGGGTTCCGAAACCCGGGAGTCTCGCCATTCAGCAAAAGTTTTTGGACCTCAGTCCTCACTCGAGTCTTTTCTTTCTGTCTTGTTTCTCTATTTAAATCCAAAAATTACGTGACAGTTGTACTTGTTAGAATGTCAACGTTTTACCTTAAATTCTTTAGTTCAATGTAAGCCATTGACTAGATTTATAACCTTATTGTTGAATCTTATTGCAATACGTGTGTTTTCCTTTGAATATTAATTTAAAACATTAAAAAATACTTTTTTTTTAATTTTTGGTACATTCTTTATATTTTGCAACAATAAAGCCAATTATTACAACTGGTTGCGTAAAATCGATCATTTCGACACTTGCTGCGATTACAAAAAATATTATGTCAATATTATATTTTTTTTTATTTTGTGCTTATTTATGTAAAGTAAGCGCAATTTTGGGTAACATCTCTTAATCAATGCCTTAATGTGACCCTTAAATCCTGTATATAGCTTTGATCATAGAAAATATATAGTATGAGCCTCTTTTAGTAATACCTAATATCATTGCACGATATTATAGATAGGATAGTCGTAGAAAAAATAGTTTTCATTTCTCTTTTTTCTGTATATAGCATTATATGTAGAAAAAATATAGTATATAACTCTCCTGCTAAAACCGATCCACGTTAAGTTAATCGTAGAAAACATACAATTTGAGACTCTCCATAGAAATGTAATACCTCCTTTTGGCGATAGGCATTAACCATGATAATTATATATACTTACTTCTGTTGATCGTAAAAAAAGTATAGTATACGACTCTTTAGTTAACTCTTTAGAACGTTGCATGTTATTGTGTGTAGGATGATCGTAGAAAAACTAGTGTTCGTCTCTCTATTCTGTATATAGCATTAATTATAGAAAAAATATATAATATAGGATAATAGTACAAAAATATAGTCCCCATCTGTCTTTCCTGTACATAGCGTTGATGGTAGAAAAATATAGTGTGCGACTCTCGTGTCAACCCCTTAAATCGCTGTATATACAGGATAATCGTAAAAAAATGTAATGATTGTCTCTCCCACTCCTGTATACAGCATAAATTGTAGAAAAAATATAGTTTGCGACTCTCCTGTTTAAACCCTTAAACTGTTTCACGATATTATAGTCATTATTTAATCGTATGCGACTCTTTCCTGTATCTAGCGTTGATCGTAGAAAAAATATAGTATGCGACTCTCCTTCTAACCTCTTAGCACGTTCTTATATATTATATAAAAAATATAGCGTGCAACTCTCGTTTAAACTCTTAAACCCTTTCACGATATTATAAACAACTGTTATTGCTAACATATTATTCGCATGTATATAGCGTTGATAGTAGAAAAAATATAGTATACGACTCTCCTGTGAATCCCTTAAATCGTTGCACGGTATTATATATAAGATAATCGTAGAAAAAATGTAGTCTCTTATATAGCGTTCACGATAGAAAACATAGTATGCGACTCTCCTGATAACCCATTAGATCGTTGCATGTTATGATAATATAGGATAATAGTAGAAAAAATATAGTCCACATCTGTCTTTATTGTATATTGCTTTGAGAGCAGAAAAAATATAGTATGCGACTCTCCTGTTAACCCCTTAAAATATAGCAGGCAACTCTCAAGTTTAAACTCTTAAACCCTTTCACGTTAATATATGTAGGAAAATCGTAGAAAAAATATAGTTATCGTCTGTCTTTCCTTTATATAGCGTTGACGGTAGAAAAAATATAGTATGCGACTCTCCTGCTAACCCATAAGATCGTTGCACGGTATTATAAATATAGGATAATCGTTGAATACTATTCGCCTCTTTCTCGACTGTATATAGCATTAATTATTGTAAAAATTATAGTATGAGACTTTCCTGTTTAAACCCTTAGACCATTCCACGTTATTGCTAACAAAGTTAATCTTTGAAAAAATATACAATGCGACTATACTCTAGGCTCCTATTGTAGAAAATGTAGTAGGTACCACTAGGATTTCCATTTGGCATCTGCATACACGTCTATTTCACTTAGAATGTTGATACAATGTTAAACGTGTAGGTATATTAAATATCGTATACCATATCATCACAAGGAATCTAACTTTTTAATTTTCAGTACTTAATCAAAGAAAATTAATTGACTCACAATTACGGACCACTCTGTATTTATTTGATAGGTATTAAATTGAGAAAGGTAATTTGTTTTACATAGTTTTTGATGTAAAATAAAGGAACTTTGTACTGTCTATAAAACATCGACATTTTAATTCACCTCGTATATTAAATCAGCAAATGAAAGAGATTTATTTCCCGTAACTAATTTTAATTATTTAACGCATATACTCCTCGAGCCGCCCCTGTACAGTAAATATTCGTGCATCACATACCGCCAGAAGCTCCACCTGCATTAAAAACTGTAAAGTAGGGGGAGAAAGAGACAATCGTTAATGATCGAACGAACGTTTCAATTATTATTTACTTAAAATTAAAACAAAAGTCATATTACCTATTATTCATAAAAATAAAAACATGCCGTATAGACTTTGACCTTGATTTGAATTCATAACTTTATTACGATTTCGGAATATTTTTGCACAGAACAGAAAGTGTTTTAATTTTTGAATCTAGTTGCTCATAATTTTCGCGTATCCATGACGACCAATGAACAGAACTTGTTGATTAGCCGTCTTGGAGGTAGAATCAGAAGATGGCGAAATTTAAAGTGTTGAAGTGAACTCTGTTAAAAAAACCTTTTTTTTTTTTCAAGAAATAACAGTTATTTATCGTTATATGTGTTAGAAATATAAAATACGAATTATCCTGCAAGGATATAGTATTTGTAAGTATTTATGTTATTTAATACGTGAGAATCGGTCAACATTTTTTTGATTTTTCAATTTGTGGAACATGACGCCATATGCATTAGATATTCGTTTTAGATATTGAAACGAAATATTTGATATAGTTTTAGTCGTAAATACCTATTACAAATAATATGTTTTGGAATAATTATTTTTCCTAAATCAGCAACTAATTTGGCTTGAATAAGTTAAGTACTGCCATTGTGATTGATAAGTGGATACCTGTGATCCATGTTACTACATATTTATAGGTAATTCTCTCTTTGTAGTTAATATAAATTTTTTATACTAAGTTTTAACGAGACTTGCAGAAGGTTTGGTGAAAATAAGGTATTTAAATTTTGATTTTCTTGCCTTTTCTTCGTTTGCTACTCCTTTTAAATAAATGTAGCGACATGTCAAGTTACAAATTTGTGATATTTTCAATGGTTATCCATGGGGCGATTCAAAGCCTATTACTAATTGATTTTTAAAATACAGGGTGTTAAACTTAAAAAAGTTAATAGGTTCTAATATTACTGTGGCTAATTTTATTGTAACATCTTTTGGCATTCCACGAATATAAAAGTGGTAAAAATATTTTCTTCTACATTCTCAAATAAGTAAGGATATTTTTTTGTTGATTACTTTTACTGTTATTGAGTTAACAATATTTACTAAAAAAATTAATTATTACTAGTTTTGTCATTTTTAAAGATAAAAAAATATTTTACGTACCCTATATACAGGGTGATTAGTAAATACCGAGGAAGGCCAATATTTTTTTTAATATTTATTAATGTAAAATGCAATATTTTTATTTGACTTCTGTCATTGATAAAAAAATATTTAACATGCGCATAAATACCAATTTTATTAACTACAGGTAGATTTACTAAATAGATTCGTTTATCAACATTTTTATTTATTCACTCTGTGCTAGTAGATTGGTCCTACAAAGGTAATGTATTCCTTCACTGGCGTATTAACCATCCTTTTTGCTACAATATTTTTTTGAGCTACAGGGTGTTAAAATTAATAACTGCTCTTTTTCGATTGAAGGAGAAAAATAAATTTAATTTTTTTTTTTGTTAGCTTTATTATATCATCGTTTGGCATTCCACAAGTATACACAGGGATCAAAAAACATTTTTTTTACAGGGTAAGTCGCAAATAAGGACATGTTTTTGTTAAATTACTTTTATCGCTCTTGAGGTAAAAATATTTACTAAAAAATAAATTAATGCCAGATTTGCCATTTTTAAAAATAAAACCAAATGTTTTACGTACCATATATACGGGGTGATTAGTAAATACAGACGTAGACCAATACGTTTTTTTATAATTACTAATGTGAAATGCAGTATTTTTACTTGACTTTTCTGCATTGGTAATATATTTATTAAATAAATTAGTAATGGATTTATCAAATGTTAAAAAAACAGATCTTCAACTTCTGTTTGAAACAAGCAAAAACTTTCATATAGAATACAATTTTCTCCAAAATTTGAAAATAAAAATGTTTTCTCTCTTTTTTAAACCATCCGGGATATCATGTACAGGATGATTAGTAACTATCGACGTAGGCCAATATGTTTTTTATAAATATTGTGAAATGAAGTCACAAAATCCAATCACACACACAAGTGTTTTTATGTACTTGGTACATTTTTAATGTATGGGTTCTAAATTAACAGTGCTGTTCCTAAACTGGCTCTGGAAAACAGTCTCAAAGCCTGAACAGAGCACGAGGCTAATAACCGTAGCAATTGATGCCGATGACATAGAAAAACTATTCATTTAATTAACTACAGGATGATTTACTAAATAGATTAATAGTTAATTTATCGAATGCATAAAAACTATTTTTGTTTAATCATCCTGTACTTTTGGAATAGTCCTCCAAATATGTATATATTTTTTCACTATCGTATGAAGATAATTTCCCAAAATTTTAGCTTCTTGTTATGACAGGTTTTTGAGATACAGGGTGTTAAATTTAAGAAATGCCTCTTCTATTCTTGGAGAAAAATTAATTCTATTGTTTGTGATTAATTTTATTATAACATATTTCGGTATTCTACGGATATATACAGGGATTAAAAAATATTTTTTTCTACAGGGTGAGACACAAATAAGTAAGGATATGTTTTTGATACTTAATTACTTTTATTGTTTTTAAGGTAAAAATATTTATTGAAAAAACTAAATATTATTTACTATTTTTAAAGATATAATTTTTTTACCGGATGATTAGTGAATACCGATGTAGGTCAATATGTTTTTTTTTATATTTATTATTGTTATTTTGCATTGGGGATATATTTAGCATGTATAACAGTCGCACGTCCCGAAGAAAAGTGTAACAGGTCCAAATAAGCAAATTTTACAGGAGAAGAGAAACAAATTTTTTTAGAAATTGAAGTTAAATAGATTAAAGAAGACTTCGCGTAAGGCGTCTAGACTAAGTAAAGTTAAAATGTAATAAAAATGTAATATTTGTACTGCTAAAACAAGCCGATTTGAATAAGTTACAAATAAGTTTAGTGCTTACTTATTAAGTTATTTTGAGTTAGTACAGTTTTCATCTGAAAATTGGTGTTACTTTCGGGTTTGAAAAATATATTTTAAGCGAACTAATTTTATAAAAATGTATTAAAAGGTATTAAAGTATTACATAAATAGCTTAGTTAAATGCTACAAAGACTCACAAAATGATTTGTAGTATTTCGGAATGTATCCCTTCTCCAACAAAAACTTCAAATCTTCACTTTTCTTATCAGTTAGTTAACGTTTACGGTTATAGGCTTTTTTTAGGGTTGGTATTCCTGGCTGTTTAAGCTCATCGACTTTTTGTCTTTTTGTGTGAGGTCGTTTTTTTTTGTAAAATTTTCACCGTCTTGAATTGGGGATCAGAGTATGAAGTTTTGTAGAGGAATTTGTATGGTTCGTTTTTTTGAACTCTAACAACTCTTAAATCGTTTATTGTTAGCTGGTCTCCTTCAGAGTTAACATTAAAGTTAGATCCTAAATCAATCATTAATGGCTTGATATCCATAAAATCCTCATGAGTTAGTTCCCGTACACGATAGGGTTCTCCTTTTTTCTTAGCAGTCCTTATTAATTGGATGAATTTTTCTGAAACGAAAATGGGTCCTGATTTTAAAGACCGACGAACCTGAAAGCAATAAATTATGAATAATATTAGCAAAAAAGCAGAGACGTAATGATATTAAGTAGGCCCCATATTTATAGGGAATTTTATGTATTCAAAAAATTTTATTTTGTTGTGTAGACTTTAACTGCACAAAACTCAAAACTTTTAAATAAAAACCAGTTCTTTTCATAGCTCTGATGAAATGAGCAGAAGCATAATTTCTTAAAAAGTAATTATGAAAGTATTACCTGTTTTTCGATAACCGAATGAGTTGAATACCCCTCATTCTGAGTATGGCCCATGACAAGAAACTTTTGTGTTATTTGTCTGATTTTATATTTTTTTATTATTTTCTTTCTCAGTTCTTGAGTTTTTTTTCTTCCTGGTGTTTGTCTTATTCCAATTTCAATTTTAATTTTTCCTCTTCATTAGCCTGATCATAAATATAACAAAGGTTGCATTGGTCCTTTTTTGGTACATAAAAGGATATATTAAACTCCCTGTTAAATATATCCGAGAAAAGATAATAGTTACCATACGGTTTATTGGCAATTTCGCACTGCATTTGGTATTCCCTTTGCAAATCTGCTATTGTTTTTCCACCTTCAATATATTCTTTGTTGCTCTGAGCCCGCAAGTAGTGGCTTTCTATTCTCGGTATTGAGGCTATAAATTCTTTGATACCATTTTTAATATCATCATCTACTCTTTTATGTTTACCTCTTTTATCATCGCTAACAGATCCAGAAGATTTTCTTTTTTGTATTACTGTATAGATAGTTCTAGAATTTATATCCAAGGTTCTCATAAAAAACAATTTACACACTCGAATTTTGTCTTGATTAATTTGAAAATAAAAAGCATTGTTAAATCTTCTGCTGTTAGGCTGTGGGTATCTGTAGTTTGGTTTAATCGACTCCATGTTTCTAGATATAAATTCTCGTTTTCTATTAATATCTATTAAATTGTAATACTCGTCAAACAATATTGATCGTTGCTCCTGGGTTATCTTGTTGCTACATTTGTATTTGCATTTATCGGAACAAAGTGGTTTAATAATTTTTGCTGCTACTATTCTTTTAGATTTTGTCCAAATTTCGTAAAATTTTGCTTATTTCCTTAGTCCATTCTGATTCCTTACGTAACCTTTTCCTAGTCTTTTTTGGTTCTGTACTTTTTGTAACTTTTTCTATCACATTTTGAACTTCTTCTTGATCGTCTTGTGTAGTTGTAATTTGAGTTTCCTTTCAAGGACGTGTTAGCATTTCAGTATTGCTGGATCCTGGAGAACTAGACGATGAAGAAGATGAGTCTGATGAAGGTGTAGAGTCTGAGGACGAAGATGAACTTGAGTCGTAATCAGGATATTTAACAGTATAATCTTCGTCCTCGCTAAAATACACTTTATTATCCAGAACCTCATTTTCTTTTGTTTTATGAGAATAATTGCTATTTACAGCTTCACTCCTATTTCCAGCTTCACTCCTATTTCCAGCTTCACTGCTATTTCCAGCTTTATTTTCTATAGGATAAAGAAGATCGCTTATTTTGGGATGGTCTTCGGCTGGTTTATTCTCCTTGGAAGTTAATATACTGTTACAAACATTCTCAGTACCCTTGTTAATGGTTTGATTTGGTTCAGGAATATTATCAAATTTGTCATCCTCTTATTTCTTATTGTCACCTTCAAGAACCGCTTGCACCATTAATTTACCTTTTGACATGATATTAGCTGTAACAAAAGCATGTGCCGATATAAAAAATAAACATAACATAACAGAATTAGACAGTTAAAAAATGTTTAAAATATATAGTGGTTTTCTGTCGAATAGCCAAAATATA